TAACATTGCTTGCATGTTTTAACACATTTCTAACCTGTTTTAGCATTTTCTTAGGCTTTGCTTGCATGTTATGAAGCTAGCATTTTTAGTACATTGCTAGCATGTTACTAGGTGTTGTTGACATGTTTAATTGCTAGGGTTAGACAGATAGATAGATAGATAGATAGATAGATAGATAGATAGATAGATAGATAGATAGATAGATAGATAGATAGATAGATAGATAGATAGATAGATAGATAGATAGATAGATAGATAGATAGATAGATAGATAGATAGATAGATAGATAGATAGACAGAAAGACAGACAGACAAATCTGAAACCAAAATCTGAACAAGGATCACTCAAAAAAATGAACTAGGAAGGTTGTGCACTTTACATAATATATTTATATTTAGTTTACTTATAATAATTGTGTTTTTTGACTTGAAATGTTTTTTTTTCTAGTAAGGTCCACGTAATTATGTCTCAACTTAACAGTACAAAATCCTAATGCGTTGCCTAAACACAAACCATTTATGTTAAGTGAAAAATTCTTACATCCAGAGGGTGGCAGTATAGTGCGAGCCAACTGCCATTTTGCCCGAACTTAATTTGATTGTGTTCAATCTGCTTAAATATATGTAACATTTAAGTTTACTTAATCCACTTGTGTTGGATTACATGATTGATTTGTGTTGCATTAACTAAAACTGGGCAGTGCTTGTTAGTGCCCAGCATGCTTTGCATATGGTTGAATTAAGAGAGAATAAATGTTAAAATTAAGTGTTATTTTATGTTTTTTTGAGAAAATGACAAAAGGGGAAGACTTGATAGTGTGTAATTGTGTTTAATGTTCAATTGCATTTGAATTATTAGCACCATTTAAATTACAGTGGGTTACCATTGTGGAGAAGAGTGGAGCATTTTGTTTGGCTGTGGACTGATTTAATTATTTCAACTGTTTGATTGACTGAGCATGTTAATCTTAGCATTTAAGATGCTAATATGTGCTACTGTTAGCTGTCACGGTGTGGGTTTTGTGTTTTGTTCCTTGTTCTTGTCTGTCATGTGATTCCGTGTTTGTCATGTTATCCTGCCATGTGTCTTGTTTCATGTTCAGCTGTTCCCCGTTTTGTTGATTAGTCTCCCCATGTGTTTCTGATTAACCACGCCCCCTTGTTATCTTGTTTAGCTTGTTTGTCTGTGTATTTAAACCCCTGTGTTTCAGTTGTTGGCTGTCGGTTATTGTTTGATGTTGCGAGGTTCCTAGTTCCGTGTACCTTGTTCTCTGTATTTACCCTGGATTACTCGTTTGTTGGATCATTAAAGTGCTTGCGATTGGATTCACTCTCTGCTTCATTCCTGCCAGTTCGTAACACTAGCAAACAGCTAGCTATAGTCTAACAATTTAATTATGTGTTACTAAAATAAATGAAATATGAATGAATGAATATAAAAAATACCTGAATCATGTCAGGAAGCCTTTAAAAAATCACTTTGAGACTACTTCAATAGAGTTGCTTAAAATGACTTAATTCCATGATGTTGAAGTTACATGAACAAATTATGTTGAAGTTAAATGAACAAATTATGTTGAAGTTACATAACAAATTATGTTTGTTTAACATAACCTAGTTATGTGGAACCTGTTGACGAAATAAAATGAATTAAAGCCAACATATCATTTTTTTGAGTGTGTGACATAAACATTAAATTCATATGTGCCTTGTTGTCTTTCTGCCTCATACTGCCAGCAAAGGTAGAATTTCCCAGCTTTCGGAGATGTCCATTGGTAAGTGTGTGTTAAGCTGACCTGTGAATAGCAGCTCTATATCACCGCTGTGTGTAAGTCCTTTGAGGGACGGCAGATTGACTGTGCTGACAGGCAGCAGAGTACTCTGACTGGCTCCAGTCGAGTACATGTGTTTCTCCCTGAATGAGACTGCTGCCCATGTGCAAGGACTATTATACTCATGTAATGATGTGGTGTTACACAAAGGATTCAAAGGTCTGGAGTTTTATTTCACAGTCACTAATCGCTGGGCTAGCTTGACAAGGCTTAAGAAGTAGGAGTAGGTAGATAGAGGAGTAGGCACAGGAAATAAATAATGAGTCTTTCTAATTCAAGGACATTTCACTTAAAATAATGACTGGAATGGAACTCAAAGTCAAACATCCGACTCGTGAATTCAGGGTAGATCTATCAACACGGGCTTCAGTGAGAAGCGTCACTTGACAATTTCAAAGATGATGTCGACTGACGAGTATACCAGAAAATTAGGTTTATACAACACACTTATGGCAATTCGTAAGTATTTAACATTTTGGCAGATTGGTAGCTAAATTGTATCAATTCGTACAATCCCATTCATGTGTTTTATGATCTGCTCACTTCAAACTGATGGTTTAGTTTAATGGGACCTTCATACTTTTTTTAAAAATAAAATCGTAGAAATTATTTCAGAACGAATCACATCATACAAATTTATTAGAAATCTCCACCTCATGAAACAGTTAAGTTTTCACATGAGACCGGTAGTGTTTATAATGTAATATATAAGATACCTTGTTTTTTGCTTATTTTTTCGCCTTAATATTTTCTTATTTTTTATCAACTGTTTTAACGTGAGCATTTTGTGTCATGACTTTTGTTTATGCCCTAATTGACAGAAAAACACAAATTGAGTCACGCCGCCATCAAAATTTCAATTGGGGTGTTCCCAACTATGTCTGGAATGCGGCATAAGACAGAAATTAAAAACAGGTAAGCAAGATGATTGGCAAGCTATAATGAGAGCAGGAACTAACAAGCATAAAAGGACATGGCCATCTGTTGCATACTCCACGCAAAAACTGGAAAGCACTTTCTCGATCTGGAAAGCTCTAATCTGATTTGCTGACTTCATACAACTCTGAGAGTAAAGGCACATAGGCTATTTTAGCCCGTTTGACTTCTAATATGACTGTCATCTACTTCCCATTAGCCAAGCTCACTGACCTCCTCCAGTATGAAGCCAAAGGGTGAAACAAATTGAACCATCATACATGAAGAGAAAGCGCAGAATAACTGCGGCTTTGCTGTTCATAGCGCGATCTATAATTACATCTCCAGCTATCAAGAGCCAATCGCTCCTGTCTCCCTCTTCCCACTTCAAGGGAATCCAAGAGGGGCTGGTGAGGAATTTAAATGGCTGAAGCATTCAAACCTCTGCCAGGGAATTATTCATCCCTAATTTCTCCTGTTAAAGACTCAGAATGCAGAAAAGCAATAGACATTAGAGGGTAATGCCTTGTGCTTTGACTCTCTCTCTCTCTCTCTCTGTGTGTAATTGCTTTGCATCAAATGTGTAATCATCTCATCCAAGTATTCACATCAGAGTGCTAATGGGCTCATTGAAGCCAATCATGCCAGGAACCTTTAACAAAAGATGCCCCGATAAATGTCCTCTCAGCATCAGCCCTCGAATCAGCAAAATGACCAGGGTGATCTGTTTTCTAGAGCATATAAATGCATTGAATGTTTGGATAGTCAACTAGACAGGACCAATGTATGAATCCTCTGGTCATGATCTCCACAAGGATAGTGAAACCTGAATTTACAGGGCTTGATAAACATACAAAATATTAAGTAATACAAAATAATGTAAAATTATTTTCATTCAAATTTAAAATTCTAAAAAAAATATGTAATTTAATTTAATAAATACATAACATTTAATAATACAAATACTTTTATAAAAATAATATAAAATTATTTTATTTAATTAATGAATGCATATCATTTTAATAAATACATACATATTATTTAATAAATAAAAGAACATTTAATCCACAATCATTATCATTACTTTCATTATGCTGATATTGTAATTTCTTTCTCTATCCAACCGTACAACTCTTTACAGAAGGACCCTGACGAATACTAATGATATCACACTGAAATTACTCTGCGCTTTGAACACGGTCTGACTGTGATATTCCCATATAAAAGAGGTAATACAAGACAGCAGTTTCTTTCTCCCTCAGCCACACTTTCACTAGCCGCACTCGCTGCCTTCCGCTCCTCAGACAGAAACAGTCTCCTCATTCTTTATTTAATGATCCATCATCACTCTATATGGGTTACTGGGCCTCCGTTAACCGCCTGCCTGACCGCTTTTGACTGTTTCACAGCTCCTCAGATTCCACTTACTTTACTGAGCAAATGCCATCGAATCGTGCTGTTTTCCGACAGCATATGGCTTTTAGCCACAGATACATTAATATATTAATAAACTGAGCCCTAGACACAGTTTTATCAAGTCCACTGATTTACAGACCAGCTAAATGACTACAAAGCCTCTATAGCTGTAGTGTATTGGATTTCTTAAGTTGATGATCCACATGATACACACACACTTACAATACATATTTAGCAATATATGAGATCAAATGAATGCAATAAAAAGGAATGTACTGTAAGAAGAGCATCTCCATGACAACGGTGAATATTTCTGTGAGAAGAGAATTGCAAACGGTGTAATAAAGTGAACAGAAACATTACTGTCCATTAAATGTTTCTATTTACTTCAAAAGGAATCATCACTGTCCATATTGCAATATTATATATATATATATATATTTCACTCCTTTCCACTCAACAGAAATAGCAATAAATACTCCACAAGTGCTTGGTGCATCACCACATTCATCGGCTGTTTTGAATTTATTACACCTGTGAGTAGAGGTCAAAGGTCAGAAGGCGGTCCCCATGATGGTTTGGATGTTACTTCACATTCTGGGATGCGTTTCCCGAAAGCATTGTTAGCCAACTATGGTCGCAAGTTCCGTCGTTACCAATAGAGTTCAATGGAAATTGCGACCATAGTTGGCTAACGATGCTTTCGGGAAACGCACCCCTGTTAATGGCTTTTGAATGACGAGGATACGATATCAGAAATAATGATGACTGCATGTGACCAGTGGATTAAATCAAGTGTAAATCTGCAACAATGAAAGGACATGAAGGTTGATTTACCTGTTGTAAACTGGCCCTCTAAATGTTGGGTCAAACTTGCGAGGTTCACCTATGGAAATAAAAAAGAAACATCTAACGTTAATTAGGTATAAGAGATATGAGGTTTAGCATGGAAAATCATAGACAAATATGAGGTACATTTATCACCCTAAAGGGGCTTAATTTGTGATCGACTGACTGTATGTTATCCCACTTATTACTTATTACAACCCAAAGTGGTTCCGGTACCCATATTGAGATCACTGCTGTATATCATCAATAAATTTTTAACAATCAAACCTGTTACAGATGGGAAAAGAGCTAACATACTGTATGTGGAAACATTCTCATTAAAAACGGTTGGGATTTCCCAATTTCTGTCACTGAGAGTGATTTCTTTTGCTTGCTATTGCTGCTGTCAATGAGCGGATGACTGACTGCTGGGAAGATTCAAGTAAAAATGGCAGGTATTTTCACATACAGTAGGAGAAGGAAAGAAGATACAGGATGGAAATCCCATAAAGCTTGCTTATGTATTCTAGTTTTATCCCCCGCCGTTCCACCTGCCAGGCTGTCTGTCAGCGAGGAATCTTTAAACTCATGCCAATGCAAGACACCCTGTTTGGATTCCTTCTCGATGGCTGTTAGTGTTCGACGACTACAAAATGCTTTGTTAAAGTGACTGCTTCAGCTTTTAGAGGAAAGAGGAATGGCTGAAATTGATCTCCTGTGAATTCGTTTGTGGAAACAATATGCTAATTTTCAACAAATACACAAGAAGCCTTCATTAAATATACATACAGTCCATATGAATCATTGGGTTTGCTGTATATTTCATTTTAAGCAAAATAACAACAACAATAAACCAATCTCATGAGACTAAACGAATCACTAAGGCATCACTATCATCATTTCATCTTCCATTGCTCAGAACCATGTGAACTGCACATCCCTCCTGGTATTTCCTGAATTGTTTTTTCTGCAGTCCAAATCATATTGCTTCTGCCATGCACTACACCTTGTCTGAATTGGTCTGTCATCTGAGAAGTGGCACTAAATCGATGGAGATGGCCGTGGCACATTTAGCGGAGTGACTGAGCATTCCATCAGCTCAGCACAATGCGCCTTTTCTCCCATCAGCCACCTGTAACGCTACAGTGAGCAGAGGGAGCCTTCTGACACATGCAATCACCGTGGACGGTGGCCATAGGGGGCAAGTATAACGTAGTGATGTTCCGTTTAATATAGCAATATGAAATATGAAATATAAAATCATCCTATATGCAAGACAGAATTACGTTACATTCAGGACACAGTTTGATCTGTATACCATCTCAAAATGTTACATACACTTTCATGTAAGTTGTATGAGAGAGAATACGTTTGTTGGCATGGTTCATATGAATTAATCCGTTTAAAAAATATAGGTATTGATTTGGTTTAGTCTTTTAACTATTTAAAATTACTAAGTGGCCTTTTAGGGTATTTTTTTTTGTTTGTTTAATTTTGCAGTACTTCACTATAAATGAGAGTGTTCTTTGTATTAAAGGTAAATGCATATATTCAAGATTAGTGCTGTCACCCCAACTGAGATCTTCATAGTTTTTGTGGCAGATGAACACAAAATAATTGTATTATAAGTATCTTATATATACCAGATAAACAAATTATTAACATTATAAGAAAACTTAGGAGTTAAAAGGCATAATATTGCATGAATAAAATAGAAATATTTGAGTTAAAATATGTTTAAAAATCACAATGTGTGATTAAAGGTAGCCAAGGCATCAGCTTCATCATTGCAAGAAATGGATCTGAATTCTATAAATACTGTAATATTATTTTTGTAAATGTGACTCAAAATATTACCAAAATAATTATCTTCCCATAATTATCCTTATTCTTGAACATTTATGGCTTAAACATTTATGACTTGCAAAAGGCCTATTATGAGACTATATATAAGATTATATATAATTTAGGTAAAACTAAGTTTCATTAGTTAACATGTACAGCATTTATTAATCTTAGTTAACATTAATATAAACATTTACTAATACATTATTAAAGTCAAAGGTTGTATTTGTTAGCATTAGTTAATGCACTGTGAGCTAACATGAACAAACAATGAACAACTGTATTTTTGTTAACTAACATTAACAAAGATGAGCAAATACAGTAACAAATGCATTGCTCATTGTTAGTTCATGTAAGTTAATACATTAACTAATGTTAACTAATGAACCATATTGTAAAGTGGAACTAAAATGCACACCTCAAATAGATTTAATAACTAATTTGTCTAAAGGAAATCTTGACCGTATTTTTTGAAATTACGAGTATCTTGTATCTTGGGAACACAACATGATTGATGAAACACTTAAAATGCACGATAATGTACATGATGTCGCAAGGTTCAAAATGAAGAGATCTTAATTGGATTCGCATCTCAAACCTTTACCACATGTAAACACTGTGGATCTTTTATTTAATCTACTTTTTATTTTCGACCTGCCACAAGAGCAGGGACCTCAATTATCCACAGCATGACCATCTGACATTTGAATACAAAAACAAAAACTGCAGTGGATATCCAGTGTAGCTGTGAATGAAAGATGGCAGCCCACCTCCTTATAAATTCTCCTCAACTACCCGACTCTCAGAGTGGAGGAGGGCTACAATTCAAGAGTAATTAGAGTTAAGAAAGTTAAAGTCGCTGGAGATGTGGCTTATGATTTAATTCTGCTCTGGCATAGGGCCTTCAGCACTACACACTGATTAAAACAAACAAAGCTAGCTGTTGTGCATTCACCTTCCTCCACACTCATTCCTTCAGAGGTATTCAATCGATACAGCCAATTAGAGACACCACCACATACAAGAAAGTCAATATCAAACACAGAAAACATGCACAACACAATGCATGCAGTGCACATTAACACAACCTCAGGAAACTTGAGACAAACGCTCATTAAACCACTTTTAATAGAGAACTGCATATACTGTGACTATGTAACACAACTTTAACTGTATCAGTAATGCAAAGCAATACAGAGGTGCGTGACATTTTCTTTTTGATCCAATACTAGGCCAAAATCAATTTGAATACTGAATCATTTCAGAGATTTCTGGGGATAAAATGGGTATATTTGAAGCCATTATGATCATCGAACAGGGCTAAACTGCAAATTATCAGACTTATTTGTTTATTAGCAACAGTTAGTGCAAAGGTGTCGCACAAAACATAAATAATAGAATAAATAAAGGGAATAGATGCCCACACAATGATATTGAAGACAACATGAGCAATTATTTAAGGATTATTGTAATTCATTGTATCTGGGGCTTCCTTGTGTTCAGTTGAATCGCCTTCAACTCTTACAAAATGTGGCACTATAGGTTATTGCCTGGGACCAAGAAGCAAGTCAGTGTTTCCCCAGTACTAGCTTCACTGCAGTGGCTCCCAGTTAATTTCAGGATCCAGTTTAAGGTTTTACTGTTTGTTTTTAAGGCCTTGCATGGCCTAGCTCCTAAATATACTTCAGATCTTCTTCAGGTCTATCAGATGACAAGGCTATTGAGGTCATCTCAAACATCACTTTTAAAGATCCCTAAGGGTGTATTCACACCAGGAAAGTCCGATAGTTCACTTGCTTTGGTCCGGACCAAATATTTTTATATACCAATTTTTTTTTTTTGGTACGGTTCGCTTTCACACTGCTCTTTTTGCAAGTAAACCACAATTTGTAAACAAAACCACACGTGTGCTAAGGTCGTCCATTCATTGGACAAGGATTCTCAAGTAGGGAAATCAGGAAGTGCAAAAAAGGCTCAGCATGGAGATATTTCGTACTGCAATATTTGTTATTTTACTGTTATTCTGTGCTACATGGGCAGCTGTGCTACATGGGCATCTGCCCAAATGTTAATAAGGCAGCTCGTCTCTTCGAAGCTCCAGGTCAAACCACGACTCATTTTATCAAATGCAGTATGCTACAACAGATCACTTTCCCATAACGCAACTCATACGGAAGCCTGTTAACTCAAAGGCGCAGTGCTTTCTTGCAATTGGGTCGGTTCATGTTCACACCGTAAACGAACCGTACCAGAGTTCGTTTGGAACCGTACCGAGACCACCTCTTCAGCTGGGTCTCGGTTCGGTTGTTTGGTCCGCACCCGAGTTCGATTGCTGTATTCACACCTGCCCAAAAGGTCCGCACCAAGGGGGGAAATGAACTAGAGTTCGATTCAATCGAACCAAACAAGGCAGGTGTGAATACACCCTAAATCTCGTCTGAAGTCCAAAGGGGGTCGTGCCTTTTCAGTTGCTACACCCCGCCTCTGGAATAACCTGGCTTCGGATATTAGATGTTGTACTAAATTGAGTGTTTTTAAATCACGGTTGAGGGCGCATTTGCTTCCCCAGGCTTATGGTTGAGCTAGTAGTTGAGTGTATCTTGTTTTACAGTTGTCTTGCTTTTTAATTGTATTTGGTTTGGAGTTGTGTTTAATGCTTTTTGTATTTTGGCTATTTATGCTGTTTTAATGGAAAGCACTTTGGCCAACTCATGTTGTTTTTAAATGTGCTATACAAATAAAATAAAAATAAAAATAAACATAATGCACAAATAAATCAAACAAAAATAGTCCAACGTCATATATCACACAACCAATCTGTCTATTTTATTAATAGCTATGTTTTTGTTGTCTAGTAGAACACAAACTGAAATTGAATTCATTTCTTTGACAAGAAGAGTTCTGTCATGTATGGTTGAAGTAAAGTGCATGAGGAATCAAATAAGTCTTTAATAATTCTAAAAACAGAATGATCGCAGGAGAAGAACGTAACTTAACCACATTAACATCGACGAGACCGTCTGATATGAAGGAACAGAATGAAACTCAGGGCTTAAATACATGGGGAACATAATCAAGGTGAACAGTAACAGGTGTGCAGAAACTAACTAACAGCCAGGGAAACTAACTAGGAACTCAGGCAGGCAAAACAGAAAGAGAACACAGTAAAAACGAAACCAAAACATAGCCAGTGCATGAAAATATTGAGACTTT